CTGGCCGTCCATAGGGGACGCTGGCATCACAGGCAGCAGATTGACGTGCAGTGCCAAACCACCGGCCCCTATTTCAACATTTTTTGATCGCTGGTTAACATTACCACAGCAGTTAGGATACTGCTTTAGATGCCTGCATCCCATCTTAGGTTACCTGGGTTCAAACCCCAGCAGCGCTCCTCATTGTGGCTTCCTGGTAATAACACGCCTTTACAAGGATCTGCTACAAACTCATGCTTGAGCATAAGTAGCCAAAAGCGAGGCTTAGATTAAATTCTGGTCTTCTGTTTTCCGCTTGACCCAGTGCAGTTTTGCAGTCATTTGGAAACTTAAGCAACAACTCTAAGACACCTCACTTGCTCTACCTCTGAAATCCAACTTACAAAAAAAGTAATTTCATAAGATTATATTTTTCCATTTCAATTGTTAGTCTCAACATAATGCCTTTTAGTATTTTCAGTTGGTTTCTCATTAGCATTTTCTGCCTTTGACTTCAAAAAAGCTCCAGGAATTACTTAGTGTAGTTTTCTTTATTACATTAAATATTTGAGACAGCTACAGCTTAATTTAGCTTGCCATTTTCTGCCATTATTTGATATATGAGTATAGTCTGAAGAGGTAAAAAATGATAAAAAGTCCTGCTCGCTGCTCAGTTAATTGTAAAGTTCTGTATTGGAAATGTCATTAAAGTTGGATTGATTTTTTCTATGATCTTGCCCTTTATCATCTTTAATAGAAAAGTGGTTATTTCCATGTCAATTGTTGTACCTTCCTACTTTGGATTTATAGTATTAATTATGAACATAATTTCTGTATTGTCAAACATTGCACTTTTATTTTCTGTAATGTCATGATCTAGTTTGCTTTGTAGTTTCACTTTTACATTAAATAGAGCCTCATGATTCTACAAAGTATTGTCTGTAGCTCTCTAAGAAAGCATACATTTTCTCTGCTTTACTTTCTTCCACTTTGTTCAGTTTATTAAATACTTTATGAAAGATGGACAATTTCAGGAGATGTGTTCAGAATTTTCTTGACATTTTTTTATTAGAGATATTTTGGTATAGAGGATTATCCACTCTGTGTGGAAATTTGCGTGGTGTTCTGTCATCTGCATCACAGTAAGCCTGCTCTGTAGTACTCAGAAGCTATGTTGTTCTGGAATGAGATTCAGATAATGTTAGAGGTTGGCCAGGGTATCTTAAGTACAAAATTAAAATTGTTGGGCCTGGCACAGCAGCCTAGTGGCTAAAGTTCTCACCTTGTATGCACCAGGCTTCCATACGGGTGCCAGTTCTCAGCCCAGAGGACCCACTTCCCATCCAGCTCCCTGCTTGTGGCCTGGGAAAGCAGTTGGGGATGGCCCAAAGCCTTGGGACCCTGCACCCGCCTGGGAGACTCAGAAGAAGCTCCTGGCTCCCGGCTTCAGATCGGCTCAGCTCTGGTCGTTGTGGCCACTTGGGTAGTAAATCAACAGATGGAAGATCTTCCTCTGTTTCTCTCCTTCTATCTGTTTATCTGACTTGCCAATAGCAATCAATCAATCAATCAATAATATTGTCATTTAATTATAATTACTACAGAGTTAACTTATATGCTCATAATTGTATCTAACTTATATCTTACATTTATCTCTAGCATATTAATTTATATCCTGATTTATCTCTAGCATAAATTAATATGGTAGTGATAAATGTAAGCATGATATGTTATGCAATTTCCCAAAATGGAACCAACTGGAATGTATATATTATTTTTATCATTGAAGTGAGTTGTGTCTTAGTATAAGAATCAAGTATACTATTTAATCTGTTTGCATGATATGTTCTACCAAAAAGAGCAAAAGGAACATTTAAGTAAAAGGCTGTGTCTATTTAATACATATAACACATATTAATACATAATATTGTAAGAAGTAGCATAATATGCACATAGTTTTGGCTTCCAATACATATTCAGCCACTGGCTATTTTGTGCACAATATTCTTGACTCATTAAAAATGTCTCTATATAAGAATAATATGAAGCTATTTTTTCCACTAATACACTTAAGTTATGTTGAACTCTTTTATATGACATAGAATCATCATTTCTTCAACTTTAATGATTTTAGTGGTTATGACCTTTCTTTTGTTTTAGAAGAATCTTTATTTTTATTGGAAAGGCAGATTTACAGAGAAGGAGAAACGGAAAAGTCTTATATCCACTGATTCACTCCCTAGGTGGCCACAATGGCCAGGTCTGAGCCCATCCGAAGCCCGGAGCCAGGAGCCTCTTCCAGGTCTCCCATGTGGATGTAGGGTCTCAAGGTGTGGGGCCATCCTCTACTGCTTTCCCAGAACACAAGTAGGGAGCTGGATGGGGAATGAAACGACTAGGAAATGAACTGTGGTATAAAAACCTAAATCATTGCATATAAACTTTACTTTCTTCTCTGCTATACACTGACCACTGGAGGTATATAATAGGTTATGAAAGCAATGTATGGAAGTCAGTGTAGTTGGCAGCTAAAGATAGAAGGATTTTCCAGACATGGAATCTACAAATTATTGCAAAATTTCACTGCTGCTTGCCATCATCATTGCCAGTTTAGGTATGAGGAAATTGAGAATGGTTTTCTGCTTTGTTCAAGGTTGAATGTGTGAGATGTAATTCCTGATTTCTCTTGAAATTATTTTATTATTATGTCGTGAGAAAATGAGTGTGATTCATTGAAGCTATTGCTTCTTTTATGCCCCAGATTGTCCTCCTGTCTCATTCCTTTGGTGTGTAAAAAAGAAACACCTCTCCTGTCAGTATTTTCCATTGGCTGTATGTTGTAGTTTTGACTTAATCTCCCTTATTTTTTTCACTGGATTTTTCTGATTAACTTCTCACATTTTGTAAAGAAATAATTTTAGTTGTTGACTCCTTTTTCATTGCCTTGAATCATATTCAAATCTGGTAGACCTGAATTTCATTGCAAGTAGAGACCATTATCTTCAAAATAATGATGCTTTTTAAATAAGAATGGTTCTTTATCCTTAATCAGACATCAGTCATTGAAAGTGGAACTTCTGTTCTCATAGCCCATTAATGGTACTAGCTAGCTACAGTGCTCATCAACCAGCAAATATACCCTTGTTATACTTGTTTCATCAGATCTATGTCAAAGCTAACATTGTTGATCTCACATTGAGAAAATTGTCACATTATTTCACTTAAGGGTCATTCTTTGTTTCTGCTTCCTTCTTTTCTCCTTCATCTAGACTGTTCATTCTCTTTCTTAGGTACTTTCTCTCACATCTCTTAAATCCATTTGTTCTTCAAGGATCTCTGTTTTCCCTTTCTATTTTCCTTTCAGACTTGAAGCTGCAAAATAAATGCATGTTGTATGTTTGTACATTGCCTCCCCTTCTTTCCTTTACTCCATCTCTCTTTCTCTGTGTCACACACACACAAATATACATACCTATAGTGAATCTTGAACTTCAAACTTCCTAAATAATTCCATAATACTACTCACTTTGAACTTCCTGAATTATAAATACTGTTACTAGAAATATTATGCTGATCAACTGAATTTTAAATTGATATTAACCTACTTTCAAAGTGCTAGAGAAATCATTGAAGAATGAGATTATTTAGTATCTTGTTGCTGTCTGCATTTCCAGTTATATTTCTGCCAATCCCTTTGTTCTGTTCAGTGACCTATCTTCGCACATCATTTTCTCTCAAAAAGAAACACTTTGGTTTTAATAAATTTTGTCACCTTCTGTATGCGGTATATTAATTGGAACTGTTATTTGTATGTAGCAAAATTGAATTAAGTAAAGCAAAGCCAAAAATGAGTCAAGGGCATTTACCTCAAAGATGCAGAACACGCTGATGAAAGCCTTGGGGACCGTTAACATTTTAACTCAGAAAGATGCACACGAGAATTTATATTTTGTTATTTGTGACATTCAGTTGTCTCTGGTAATTTTAGGAGTTGAGAAAGCCATGCCTGACTGGCAAATGAGTCACCACCTGCAGCCTGCCAGGGTGCACATTGTTATAATTCAGGATTGAAAGGCCTGCTGGGACTCTGAACATCTACTCCAATAAATGTTATCATTAATAACACCTGTCTAATAATATATACATGACATGACTCTCCTGTCATATGTATATATAGATATATGCAATATAATAATTTATTTGCATGACAAGTTTTACAAACACTGGTAATATATTTTCAATTTCATGTTCTCAATGATAATCTGATGATTGATTTTAAATCACTTCTTGATTTGGGGGTGTCTGGCAAAGAAGAAATTCATGTTTTCGTATTACATGACAACATTTGCCCCATGATTGTAACTGGTTAAGCAACCCATAAGTCAAATACAGTTATGCTTTTACACAGAATTAGGTGAAGATGTCTATTACAAATTGAACAGGCAGACATATTTTATAGCTATCTAAAATTCAAAAGTACTTTCCTCCAGGAAACCATTAAGTATGCTTCAGATAATAAGCAATGCCATTTAATTTCCTTTTCTGATTGCCATACTTTCTCTGAACATTAACTGAAATGGGGCACAGAATGACCAAAGATAACAATTAATGAATATTACTCATATCCAACTTTTTCATGGTATTTTATTGCTGTCACATGAGGCTAATCTAATTATTGGTCAGATGTAAGTGTGACTTCAAAGGTAAAATAGTGTCAGTAGTGTCAGTTGTCTACAGTAAATATAATAAGTATTTGCTATTGAAAATATCTGCAATATCTGATCATTAACATTGAATCAAGAATAATTCATTTTTGATAAGACATTCAATCAGAGGTAAGTCATTTCATTCTCATAATTTATGATATATGGAGATATTTGTTATAATTTTAAAGCAGTTACAGCAGACTGCCTTGTAATAATGGTTTGTGAGATATTCTAACTTCCATATTCTTAAAAATTAAATTGTTATTTTTAATAATTTGTAGAAAGTATCAGCTAATTATGGTCTTCTCTCAACAGAAAATTCAGTCTGATTTGACAAGTCATGAGATTAGTCTAGAAGAAATGAAGAAACACAACCAAGGGAAAGAAGCTGCACAAAGGGTCCTAACCCTAATCGGTGTGGCACAGGTATATTCTACTCTGTAAATATGGAGTTTATTTTGGCTGGGCATAAAAATATGCTATAGGCTTTATTCAAAAAATTTGAATTGAAGATAAAAATGAGAAGTACAATGTGATGCCTGAACACCATGGGCTTTCTGCCTTATAATTTAAAACAAAATAAGTTGGTAGGTTACCTTTTATTTTCTAACACATTGAAAATAATCACTCTATTCTATCACTTATGTCTTGTTGTGTGTTGGTGTAATGTGGCAAGATTGATTTTGTCTTGATTTTTATGTGTGTACATCTTTAGGAATAAAGAAAGTTTGCTGACCAAAAACAATGAGTTGTTACTGTTTGGAAGGCAACATTAACCCAGGAACCCCTTCCACTGTCCTTGCAGAAAAAATTGCAAGATGTCTCCCTGAAGTTTCGATTATTCCAGAAGCCAGCCAATTTCGAGCAGCGTCTAGAGGAAAGTAAGATGATCTTGGATGAAGTAAAGATGCACTTGCCTGCACTGGAAACAAAGAGTGTTGAACAGGAAGTAGTACAGTCACAGTTAAATCACTGTGTGGTAGGTATTTCTGGTGGAAAATACGTAACTATTTTTCCTTATTAAGTATTTGATTCTCCTGTAACAAGACTTATTTTCAAATAATTAATCATTACACTTTGGAGTTTAGGTTCAACAAAAATGAAACAAGTCTGTTTAAAGAAAAGAGCTTTCGCTTCAATTGTAGAGTTTTGCCTTTTCTATATCTTTCTAAATAAATCTGCTAATGATTGTGCATAATACAAAAGGAGGCCTCCTTGCTTAATGCTTATGATACTTTGGATATATGTTTTTAATTTGAAATCCAAAAGGGACATAGTTTAATCTGGAAACATCAATAACAGCGATATTTGCTATAAGATTAAACGCCCCAGAAATAATAAGCACCGATGGACACCATTTCTGTTTTCAAGATGGCTCACTGACTGAGGTTAATTGTACCTGAAACAGTAGTTAAAAGGCAAAGGAAGTTCCTGATGTAGGTACTTGTACTGAAACCCTAGGACCTTTTCATTAAATATCATGGCTTGATACACATTTAAATGCCAGTAGACCACATAGAATTAAAAAGCATGGAAAGATACAAGTTGTGTGCAGTTGTCAGAGAGTATCTTACGTTGCTGCTGTTGGAACAAATAAGATAACAAAGAGCTGAGAAATTGGTATATCTGCCGTGATACTGTATTATTAATAGTCTAATGACCAGCAAGAGTAGAAATTCACTTATATTGACAATACTTAATGCTAAAATTAAATGAAAAAAAATGCCTTGCATTTTTTCAAAGGGTTTTTTCTTTATTTAAAAGGAAGAGTTAGACTAATGACAACAGGGCCATATTCATGGGAGGGGCCCCAACGCTTGGGTCTTTCTCACCAATTGACCAGGTAAGCCGGCAGGGAGATGGACTGCAATTGAAGCAGATTCGGCTGGGACTAGTTGGCCATAGGGGCTGACTTAGCTTTAGGCAGCTTCCTTTCATTCTGAGTGTTATGTTTTGAGTTCACTCTCCAATGACAATGGAAAACAGACCATTTTGGCGAAAATTATTCATGTCATTATGAATGTCAAATATCTCTGTGTATAATAATACATTTTAAGCTAAATTGGTATTTCTGGTTGCAAGGCACTTGGAAATATTTTACCTAATAAAATTTATGTATAATCAGACTGCAGTTTATGATATAGTTACTTTAAATATTCCTGTTGCGAAAGAAAAACCCAAGGAATTTTGACTATAATGATGACTGGGATTCGCTGATATTAGGTAATAGTAGGAATATACAGGAATACATTAGAAATTGTGCAGTATGAATTGATAACAAAAATGTACCAGCCACACTATCATTATGGCCGGAGTTTGAAAAATGAAAGCTGTTTATCCTCTCCTAAGAGCCAAGTCTGCAAAGTTTCCCTTATGAAACTTACCACCAACAAAATGAGCTGAAAACAATGTCACCTGTACCCTGCTAGCTCTGTGTCCTACATCAGTGCAAAGAAAATAGCTCAAGGCACCTGCTCTATTTGGTCTACATTCTTGCTTGAATGTATTCCTCTCATAAGGATATTATTTATTTAGAACTTTTCTGTTACTTAAGTTGAATATACATGCACACACAAATATAATTTTAATTATGGCCCTAACCAGTGATTTTTGCGTATTAAAATATTTTATTAACATGAACACCATACCAGGGAATATTTACCTTTTTTGGTTGCGAATATTTTCTTTTACTATTGAGTGAAATGTTACTGATGGCTTACCGGACCCCGTGGAACTTTCACCATAAAGTAAGCCAGTGGCATTTTCTTAAGGCTTAAACAGTAAATCACTTGACTGTGTCTCTGATTCCAAAAAGTCATAGTTGGTTCCCAGCATAAAAATTAATTATTTCAATGTCTCAAAATATTCTTATATTTTTACATGTTCTATGAATACAAAATGAAGTATAAGAATCTGGAAAGTTCAGTATAGAACACACAATTAAGTGTGAATGCAAGCATCAGCAATGAAGAGAGTAACGGAAATAGATTATCTATGTAGTCTTAATTAATCATGCAGTCGTTCAACCTCTACAAAATATTTTGTCGTAGTGCCTATTTTTTTAGAGCCTCTGGTAAGCAGACATAAAACAGACACAATTTTTTCTTCTAATTGCAGAACGTATTTACCAACTAGCAAATTTATGTCTATGATGGTAATAAAAGAAGTAGTGATTATTCAGATTTGCCACTGAACAAGTGAAAGCAGTGGGAATGTAAACTGTTATTTATGCCTGTATACACATACAACTTCATATATACAAATGACATGTCATCCCAGGGAAGGAACTGTAAAGGCACATCATGACACTAAGCGGCAGTGGTGTGGTGGTAAAAATCGCTGCCTTGAAAAGTTATATTGTCTTATGGTACTTTGTTATGGAAACTACTTTTGTGAAACTTCATAGTTGTTCTTTATGCACATATGTATGACATTGTGTAATCTTTAAATCACTATTTATTTTTAAACTATTGTCAGCACCATTAAAGTATAATTTGATTATCTAATTAAACTGTTTAGATTGCTTTTATTCCTTTTGTGTGAAATAACATATTGTAGTCATGCTTGCAAAGTTAGATGTCTTACTCTACTAATATATAAGCTGCATGACCATATCTGTGTGTTGGCCACCACTGATTATTCACTAACTCAAATGCTCTCTGGTATATGATTGGCACTCAATTAAATACCTGTGAACAAGAAAGTTAGTTGATCAAAACTCCTAGCTAGATTGTATAAGTACAACATATAAAGCAGAGACCAGTTAACATTTAGATGGTGATTTTGTGACCTTGGATAGAAGAAACAAATATGTCCATAGTGCACTCTCTGGAAAGTACTGGTAAATTATTGTTCAGAATTGAAAATAGAAACTTTAAAAGGAAATGTATGAGCTAGATATTTATCACACCTTCACTAAGACTGTAAATATGAAATAGCAACCAAAACGGTATCTATTCTCTTAGTTGTTGTTAACTATGGGAGTTAATTTAACACTATTGCTAATTATTTTGCTTTGTTCTGTATTTAGAACTTGTATAAAAGTCTGAGTGAGGTGAAGTCTGAAGTGGAAATGGTGATAAAGACTGGGCGTCAGATTGTACAGAAGAAGCAGACGGAAAACCCCAAAGAGCTGGATGAAAGAGTCACAGCTTTAAAATTGCACTACAACGAGCTGGGAGCAAAGGTGCGTGCTTGATGAGGCCACAAACACTGCTTTCCACTTTCCTTATAAATTGTGACAGGCACTAAATATGTATGATTAGAGTCTAGCAAATTGTATTGTTGAGATACATAGATATGATGGATAGACACATACCTCCCATTATCTGTGTTAGGTTGTAAGCACTACTTGAGTGATGAGGCTATGCACTTTACTATAGAAAGAAAAATCTGTAAAGCTCAGGGAGGTTTAGCTAGTACACTGGGTAATTTACTAAAATTATTCCTTTGTTGTAATCATTTTTTCATGATAACAAGTTACTTATAATGTCTTGAAGACTGGGAAATATTGAAAATGATGTACATGTTTATATGAGGGTCTGTTGGAACTGATGCAGTCTATATGGACCTTGATAGGTCTGATGGAACTGGCTCATCCACAAGTATTATTTCCTAATTTTAAAAAGGGTTATATCCTCTTCCACCTTTAGCTGGTAACAATATGGGTAGCCACTTGAGTTGTGTGGTTCTGTGATCACATTTGTTATTGTTGCTTTGATTAGAGTTCCGTGAGTAACTTCAATTTACTGTTACAGAGTTTTACTTTTCTCCATTTTCTTTTTTCATAAGTGTATAATATATAGAATTATATATATATATGAGAAATATATAGGGTCATTGCCTTTCTTGAACTCAAATATTCTATATTTAGAGTTCTGAAGGTTTTAAATTAGGACTCTAAGCTGCTTCTACACTCCTGAATTGTTTCCATTGCTGAGCAGAAGCATTTTAGTTCAATGCATTCCCATTTGTCTATGTTTTGCTTTTGTTACTTGTGCAGTTTTAGTCGTAACCAAAAACGTATAAATAAATGTTTGCCAAAGCCTGTGTAAAGTAGCTTCTCTCCTGTACTTTCTTATGTAGTAGCCATTTTACGGAATGTGACGCTCTAACTTTGTTCTTCCGCTTGGGAAGTCATTTTCCCATGCCCCCAGTTCTGCCCAGCCACTCATTGTTTCCTTTGTTGTGCAGAACACTTTTGCTTGCATAAAATTTAGTTTTGTCAAATTTGTATTTCACTTCCTATTATTGGGTAGGTCTTAATTAAAAAGCTTTGCCCATTCAAATGTCCTGAAATATTACCCTTATATTTTCTTCAGTCATTTCAAAAGCTCAACTGTTCTTTAATAATGTTTGAGTCTATTTCTGGACTAGGTGAGAGGTAGAGTTCTGGTTACATTCATTTCCATGTAGCCTTCCATTTTCTCCAGAATAATTTGTTTGAGACTGTCCATTTCTTAATGTGTTTTCTTAGGACTGTTGTAAAATATCCTGTGACTATTGTTTGGGTTTAATTTTACGGTCTCAGTTCTACTCTATATTAGTCTAGGTGTCCATTTTTATTTCAATCCAATGCTCGATTGATTAATGGGTTTCATATGAATGGTAGAATTTTTTTCTGTTCCTGTAAAACATTTTCTTAGAATTCTGATGGTAAATTGCATTGACATTTTAAATTGCTTTGGGAAGTATGAAAATTATAATAATATTTTGTAATCTCTGAACATAGGATCTTTTTGCATTTGTGTATTCTTCAATTTACTTTTATCAACTTTTTACAAGGTTCAGTATACATTTCTCTCACTTCACTGGTTAAATTTGTGCCTAATATATTTAGGCTATATTATATAACATTGTTTCATTGATTCTTTTTCTCAAGTATTTCCTCATATAATGCGACATTTTTGTGTTGTAATGTTATGTCTTATAGATTTAATGAATTCATGTTATTTCTAACTAATTTTTGGTAGTATTTTAGGATTTCCAACATATGATCATGTCATCTTCAAAGATAATGTAATTTCAATTATGCCATCATAAAAAGTCATAAAACCTGGAAATACTGTCACCAAGGACTGACCTGAGATTTTCTCTGCTTGCCATTATTTTATGTTCTCCTATGAGCTGTATAAGAAATTTTAAAACCCAATCTTAGTGCTTTAATAATTATGTATTTTAGTAGTTATAACACTTTATTATTAAGTAATTGAAATAATTAGTGCACGTTAGTATTTATATAATGGGCTTATTTAAGCTCACATAAATAAAGGGATTTATTTATTATTGGCATTTAGGGCCATTTTGCAATAAAATAAAGCTCATTTTAAGTGCATTAAGTGATTGAAAGTTAAAGAGACAGAGACGAAGGGAGAGGACTGGTTCAGTCTCCAGACAGCCACAAGTGCGGGGTTGAATCAGGCAGAAACAAGGAAGTAGAAGCCTCATCCAGATCTGTGTGGATTCAGGTCAGCCAACTTGGGGTTCAATCTGTTTTCCATAGACTATTAGCAAGAAGTTGGATTGGAAGTAACACAGCTCAGACGGCAACCAGGGTCCCTCTGTGTGTTGTTGGCACTGTAGGTAGCTTTACCTGTAATGCCGCAGTGCCTGCCCATAACTGAGCATGCACAGTTAGTGTAAGCATAAAGTGTAAATGGGAAAGTTAGTTATGAGCAAACTTTTCACCAGTGGACCTATTGACAAACAACAACAATTTTAAAAAAACATGCAAAATAAATTTCTGCCTGTTGAATTTCACTCTGAGTGAAAGTGCTGAATTTCCTTGACATTTTTTTTTTCCAACTCGAGTTTCCACCTTTATTGACACTAACAACACTGAAAAATTATCTCTTTATTCAGACACAAATAAACGTGTACATATTTGAGAAGTACCCATAGACAAACTTATAATATTTTATCATGACAATAAATTATTTTTAGGTATAAATAATTTATGTAAAAATTTCAGTTAATAAAAATGAAATGTTGTTTAGAAAACTAAGTAATTTTATTGAAAAATATGAAGCCTAGGATCCTTGATATATCAATACCTATTATTCCACATTTCTTCTATGTTTTGATTTTATACAAACATACAGCAATGACAGTATTAGTATCGTCCTCCAAAATTACATTTTTAAGTGTTCATGAAGTGACTGCTGAAACTGTAGATGGCACTCTTAAATGTATCTTTTCTTCTCAGCAAGAAGAATTATGATAATAAATGTAAAACTCAATTTTCCTTAAGATGGCAGTGTCTCCTTTTTTTTTAAAAAAAAAAGCTGCTTAGCAGGATATAAACAAAATACAAATCAATAATACATTAGCTTTGGAAAGACAAGATTTCTTTGAAATATTGAATCTGGATTCCTTTTCAAGTACTAGTGCATTGAAAAAATAACTATGTATGAGAACTCACCATAAACTGCAGTTTTCTTCTCACATACACAAGTAGAATCTTTGCAGTTGAAAGGGCAGATGTTATACTTTTCTTAGGGGAGATATAGAGGAAAAAATGTTTAAGAAAGAAATGCATTTGCACCTTCAGCAACTAAATATTTTAAACATATATCTCTGGCTAAGGAGATGATGAGTTTTGCTGAATATTTAGAATACATAATAACCCATGGTTTTTATTTTTGTCGTAGAATTTTGAATTCTTTGTGCATACATTCTCTGTATGTGTGTGAGTGTGTGTGCGCACACGCCTGTGACAACTGGACTCTCATTTTGATTGTAAATCTGTATCATTGTTGCCTATTTTAACCATGCATCATGTTCAAACATGCACTTGGGTTTTTCCTCTATTATTTGCTTACTCTTGAAATCCATTTTAACTCTGATTTCCAAAGTTTTTTGCAATGAAAGACATTTTTTCTTCCTGGATTTCTTTACCTGAAAAATAGTGAATATAAAAAAATACTCCTGTTACATACCTTCAGCGATGCTTTCCATCGGATCATCTCTAAGGAAAACTAATATCAGTAAGGGAAGAGATTGTGGTGTCATACTGTGTTAGTGTCTGTCAAATCACTGAGAGTACCCTCTTGATAGCTCTGTGTGTTTAGCAAAATGGTTAAGTTTTTAGTCTATATGCATAGAGGAAAATGAGGTGTCCTTCCCCAAGTTCATTGGCAAGTTTAGGGGTTACTGGCTAGGACAGAACCTGTCATTCTTGAGCTTCAACATGTTGCCTCTGCAGATTCACATGTTTACATTTAATGCTCCACCTTCATAAGCAAAAAAGTTTATTTTTCCCTGAAGTTAGAAAATTAATAAATTTTAAGAATACACATTTTGTATCTAATTTCAGCAATTTTTAAAATTCTGACATAGAATTTTTGGCTTTCAGGTTCTCATTCCTTTCTTACACAATATACAAATAATTTAGTGCAGCAATCTTTGTTTAAGTGTGAAGAATACAGAGGAGTGATTTTAAGGGATGTGAGGCACTAAATCTTGCCTTTGTGCAACTGAAAATCCACAGGTTTTGCTAATGGTTTGACTGGTACTTGGAAAATATTGTTAACCTTGTATTAAACCATTAAACCCACAACCTTAATAGATGCAGGCATATTTCAAAATGGGATGGAGAATTATGTTCATTCCCTAGATGAGACTGTGAAAGAATTGGCTTATGAGAGTTTTGGTTTTCAACACTGAGGATAGGAGCACTAATCCAGCCAAAATTTTCTCCATTAATAAGAGCAAAAATTGTGTTTTGTATTCGTTTTCCTAATGCATGGTGAGATTGTGTTTATGTGGAGAGTATCATGTTCTTTGCATAGTTTTTATGCAAAAGTAGAAATTTGTAGATAAGAGGAGAAATTGATTATTTTAAATATTGTTGCCACTTCAAACACATTTTTTCCTTTTATTCCACACTAGCAAGAATAAATCTCATGTTTTAAAAACTTACTTATTTATTTTTGAAACTCACAAATTCAGAGAGGGAGAGACAGAATGATCTTCCATTTACTTGTTCAATCCCCAGATGGCTGCAAGTGCCTGGGCTGGTCCAGGCAGAAACTAACAGCTCCATACTGGTCTCCAATGTAGGGGAGAAACCCAAACACTTGGGTCATTTTCTGCTGCTTTTTGTGGGCTTTGGCAGGAAACTCGATTGGAAGTGTATCAGCTGGGACACAAACCAGGAATCAAACTGGATGCAGGTGTCATATGACAGCTCTACATAGTATGCTATAACAAAACTGACCCTCAAGCATCTGGCTTATGTAGAAGATTATAAGCTCTTCTTGAGCCTTCCTTTGTAAATAACTGTCAGTTTTCAACAAGTAGTAGTTGTTGTTTTCATTTTACTTATGCTATTCTCTTCATTACAAAACTTGGGCATGAATTATGTTTTATTTTCTATTAAAGACAGATTATTACAACTTTCATTTCTACAACGAGAGTCAATACAAGACACTGTCTTTTTGGACAAAGGATCTGATCTGGATTGAGGCTTTTTAGTTTTCTTTTATATTTAGAAAAAATAAAACCTGTTACAGTGACCACACATTAAACAGGTTCTGTCCTCAATGAAATTCTTGGTGTTAATAAAATGTTGGTAACTGTGGGCAAAATGCTGTATATTCCTCTAGAATAGATTCATGTTGAATTCATAGCTGAAATTTAATCTCCATTGATGAGCAACTCCTAATTTCTGTGTCCTACAACCATTAGTAGCTATCATTTTACAATCTGGTTATGTTTTTTGACAATTTTAGATAGCGTCATGCAGTGTTTGTCCACTTTGACTAGCTTTTTTAATGCACTATAATGTTCCCAAGGTTAATCCCTGTTGTCTTTTTCAAGACTGTATATAATTCCAGTTAATGTGGAAACCACATTCTTACGTTTCATTCATTGTTAATGAATGTTTATGCTGTTTTTTCATGTGTTGGGCATTGCTACTAATGCTGCAAGGAACTTGGCAGTTCTATATATCTTAGAGATTATGACTTCAAATCTTTTGGCTAACCATAAGTGAAATTACTGAATGAAGCAGTAGTTTTATTTTTATTTTTTTTATTAACTTCTATACTGGTTTTCATAATGGTTAAACCATTTTGCATTCTCACTAATACTTTAAGCAGATTCCTTTATTTCCCTGATGATCATTTGTATTTTTGTGCCTGTATGTATATATGTGTATGTACATATATATAATGTATATGCATGAGTGTATATGTGTGTGCGATTATGCATTTGTATATATGTGTAATATATACATATTTGCCATCCAGTCAGGTTTGAATTAATGTCTCTCATTTTTTAAAAATTTTTGTTGTCTTCATGATTAATGGTATTGAATAACCTTTTATATGCAGAATTATATTTTGCTGACCTGTTGTATTTATTAATGGAATAAATTTGTATTTCTCTGTTCAGACCAGTTTTAAAATCAGGTTGCTATACCTTCTATTGCATTGTCGAGCTTCTTTATATATTTTAGAATTAAACTCTTTATATTACACTTTCTCCCATTCTGCTGGTCTGTTTCAGTCTTGCTTCCTTTTCTTTGCAGAACTTTGAGATTTATTTTTTTTTATGAAACCAGTCTCACTGGTCAATTTTAGCTTTACTTGCTAATGATATTGTTAAAGTAAGATTTTAAAATGTGTGAATGTGCTTATTTTTGAACCACAGAAATAGAAAATATTTAATTAGGTAGTTGTAAATAAACCTGAATGGTAAAATAAATCAACTTTAATGTTATGATTCTTTTCAGGTAACAGAAAGAAAGCAACAGTTGGAGAAATGCTTAAAATTATCCCGTAAGATGCGAAAGGAAATGAATGCTTTAACGGAGTGGCTGGCAGCTACAGATACGGAATTGACAAAGAGATCAGCAGTTGAAGGAATGCCTAGTAATTTGGATGCCGAAATTGCCTGGGGAAAGGTAAAACACGTATTATCAAAAATCATTTTAGCATGTGTAAAAATATGGAGCAATGATTCTGTAAAAAATGCTACATTTTAACAATGATAAAATTATGTATTTTTTTACATTATCTTTTCATAAATGGTAACCTATAGACTAACGGTATATTTGAGAACTACAAAAATAAGCAAACAGACCAAAGGGAAGAAAAAAAAACAGCTAACAAAACCTCTTGCAAATTTCTCTAAAGCATATTTAGAATTCGCTAAGATATAGGTAAGTCCTTTAAATGGTGATATATCCTAGTTTGATCTTTACATATTTTGTACATGTATTGAAACTATAACATTACGTCCTACAAATCTGTAGAATTATTTTATGTTTCAATTAAACATGAAAGAAAAATCTATAATTTTGCATATACCATTCATTATAAAGTCAGCTCAGGGATGAGACCATTTTATTTTGCTGCTTACGACCTGATTGCCTGTATACAGCCCCTCCACAACCTTCCAAAAGCAAAGAAAGGTCAAGGACACAGAGACTGCTCCAATTGGGCTTGAGAGGACTTGTAAGATTAGCAGATTGTCAGGCTGGCAATCAAAAAGAATCTCAAGAGTTGTATATAGATGCTATCATTTCCATCACCAAAGGGACCAGGAACTCATTGCATCCTCAGCTAATAAATTCCTGCCATTCTCTGTCAGTCAAGCATTTATTTCTGTCCAGAATTTAGTGTCAAGCCACAATTGATTCATTACTTGATAGGTTGAAAATATGTGGATAGAAAAGGGCAATATTAATAGCATACTTTCACCTCAAATTTGCAGACTATGGGCTATAAAAAATAAAATCTTAATATTCACATTCCCTTGATTTATTGCATTAATTAGCACTCATTTATATCAACATTTTAGCAGATATTTGCTTTATTTTTAATTCGCTCAGGTCATGCAAATATCTAAATTTGGAAAACAGTAAGTGTGGTTTCCAAAAGCAACACAACATGATAAAAACTGAAAATGTCTCTTTTTCTTGAGCTAAAATTTTATTATATAAAGTGCTTTTATAAATAGTAGTAAATGACATAAAAACATTAGATAAATCCAGGGAGCAAAAGAGATATTTCAGGATGAGGATTACCTTGGCCTTGTCTTATCCTGTGGTTCAAACGTATCTTTTTTTCTAGGTGATTGCTAAGATTAGACCAACAATAGTTACATGCTCAGCTTCTTTTTGGGCTAGTGTGAGCAGACTGAAACACAGTGACTCTAATAAGACTGGGGTTTGTCTCTATCTCTTGTATGATTGGCATTTTACAATACGTGACATTGATTTGTTCCATGATATTAGTACACCTTGGATATATTTCATTCCAGTGCTTTGTGTATTTATATTTCTTGAGTGAAAATGTCTTGTGAGTGTCACACCTTAATTCTGGCCCAGTAGAATTAACAAAGAAAAGGAAAAAACAGTTCTCTCTTATGCGTATATTATGGAATTCCCATGCAGTACATTTACTCCTGATCTCTTTAATGGAACTAGTCATACAGTCATAGCTAAACTCCTAGCAGGGTTGCAAACTGTGGTTTCTGTTTGGGTGATCATGTATCCTGCTGAGACAGTATGGGTGTAAAAGGAATAAGGAAAGAATGAATTCTGGAAATCAGTAGACATTCTTGGTCAGATGGTTGTTAGCGTTGGTTTATACATCATTAGGAAAAGGTGAAAAAGGCCTATGTAGACTCTGTGTCTCGTGTTTGTATGACATGCATGGTGTACTGCTAGTTCTTAGCCCAAAACCTATAAACTATAACAAAAAAACTAAAATATGTCATCATGCTAAGTTCTTTCCTAAGTTTGTTGAAATGCTGTTACAGATATCCATACACCACCTCTCCAGATACAATCACATTGTGACACTACCATGTGCATTTTTTTCCGGAAGACAAGTCAGTATTCACCAATGCAATAGCTTTATAAATACATTGAGGAATGCTATCATAATGGTACATCTTGGAATAGAGCTAGATACAAAGGAATTTGGAAAACAGTTTATTAATATTTAGGGGAAAGTTACAAAAATATGTCACAAATGAATTTTGTATGCCAGAATCCTTATGAAGTCCCTGAGAGTAATGTGCTTTTTCAACAATTTCAGCATAATATTAGAATGCATATGAAAATGAAATCTGTAAATTGTCTTAAATATTCATGTCAAATAGAAGATACGCGTGATCTAATGACAGTTACTGAGTCTGTCTGAACATTTTCTTTCTTTCATTCATCCATGATAATGCGAAGTCCAAAAGGAAAAGAAGTTTAGAAAACTTGCAATTCTTTTATTTCTGGATTTTTAAAACACTGAATGCTGAACTATATACTTAAAAATGCTTCAGAGGTCAAGTACAAAATATGCACAGTTACATGTGCATCGCCTTCTTATTCACAAATTCATTTGACAGTTTTCAAGTTTCTTTTGAGACATGAGCAAAATAAGAATATGTGATTTACAGAGATAAAGCAGCCAAACTTAGGACGATTGTTGTAGTACTTTAATAGAAAAAAAAGCAAGTGCTTGGAGGAACTCTGTGACCCTGGAGTGCAACAGTGTTACTTAGGCTTTTCTTGGTAGAGGAGAACTTGACTCAACCAGTAAGTCTCATTTGATTTTACAGAGTATAAATGCCAGACATTTTTAAAAATTGAATTGTGAGACAATTTCAGTGAAGCGTGTTAAAAATATTTTCTAGGCATTCCAAGTACTTTTAACTAAAGTACTTTTAAATAACTAGATCTGATTTAGTTACTTCTTTGTTTTAAAATGTTTATAGTTGACAATTTTTAATATTTTTCAAAATTCACCTCATTATGCAAACATACTGTTTTCTTGAGTTTATGATAGTAATATCTCAAGGTCAAATTTCTATAATTTAAAAATATTTATATGAGAAAATATGTTAGCATTTGGGTAAAAATATTCATATAAATAAAAATTTTAGCTGCCTCTAAAATGATTCTTGATCTTTAGTTCACTCAAAGTTTAATATATATATATATATGTATCAGTTGCAATTAAATATTTTCTTGGCTTATTTCACAGCATATATGTTGAATTTATCACATGATAGTATATAGGTTTTATATAGACCTATGTGTTAATTTACTACTTAACATACTCTAGCAAAATTCGCTAGGGTGTTTTAAAGGGATATATATGGCACAACTGTGCAAGCATAAACAAATTAGAAAATTAGGCAGAGGGACAGTTGTGGTTGAGAAATAGTAAAAGCTGTATCAGAAAAAATGTCACAATATCCCAAGGATCGTGGAATGAGTAGCTAAAAATAAAGTCAGGGCCAGAATTGTACCTATTTGGTAAAGCTGCCACCTGTAATGCCAGCATCCTGCATGATAGCTGCTCCATTTCTGATGCCCCCTCTATGCTAATGGTCTAGGAAAGACAATGGAAGATGACCCAAGTATTGAGTCTCCTGTCACCCAGTAGAAGACCTTAAAGAAACTCCTGGATTTGACAGTTTTGCAGTAGGGGGAGGGGAAGCAGTGAATGGAAGTTCTATTTCTCCCTGTCTGAAGCTCTGACTTGAAATAAATAAGATAAATAAAGTCACAGATATGATACTTGACTTTCTAGCAGAACAATCAGGTAAATAAACATATTTATGAGACATTTAACGAATTAACAAAACAGTCTATAAAATATGTTTTAAATTATTACTAGTCGAATGGGGTTTCCTAGAAATTAGATCCACATAAACAAGAACAAAAACTGGAGGGATCAGGAAAGAGATGATGTTCTTCATCTGATGAGCAGTCTCGACATGGCTATAATTTCCTGCCCCGGTACTTTTTAAGCATAATTAAGCACTAAAATTTTTTAAGTTTTCCTCTTTAAGTACAGGAAAAAAAATATTTTGTTCTGTGTTCTTCCTCTTCAGAAATCCAGATTGTTCCCAACTGATAACACATTTGTCTATTTTGCCTTATGTCTAAGTAGGAAGTGCAGCATTATATTTCTGTCTTAATGTTAAAAGACTTTGGTTGCCAGAGTATTTTTACCAACATACAATTTTGCATGTGAACTGTGACAGAGAAATTGGCTATTGAAGCCTTTTTGCAGGAAGCACAAATAAAGGAAGAAAAGACCTTGAAGAATTCCAAAGTACATTGAATTCTCTAGGAAGCTACATCCATCCCTCAGTGAATAAATTTATTTGAAAATTGTTGGGCTGTAATTTCAGCAATAAAATACATTGAAAATGAAGTTCATTGATATTCGCTTGGTTGATGATGGTATTCAAAAAGTGAAGGAAAATATTTTTTGGAAAGCTTGAAGTATCCATATAGCAGTCAATAATGATAATGCAGATTCTAAATGTATTCATTTCATATAGCATCAATGTGAAAAAACTAGACTTTTTCAAGATCAAAAGCAGTAAGGGATCTGGCAGTAATAGTATTTTTAATAAAGAAAAGGAATCATTTTTCATGCAATACACATGTTACTAGTTTGTAGTGATACCGATTTCACTACATATGCATGAAACATGCCATACTATTCAATATCAGTTGTATTTTTTCTCAACTTGCCTTGAACTGGGGGTTAGTTCAATTGTCCTCTTACAAAGCTTTGCCCTTAGAAAGATCAAGGGAATGTTGCTTGTAAACCATGAAAGGTAGCTGATAAAATCCAAGCTCATTAACATATATAGTTAAATTGAAAGCACTTTGAATGATGCAGAGTAATTTGATGTGCACAGAGATTAAATTATGTCATAAAATAACTTATGCGCTATTAATCCACGTAATATATTAAAATGAGTGTGGTATATGAGCTGTTTCTGCTTGTAGGAGTGGGGATTAACATATACATAGGAATTAAATGCAATATTTTACTCCAAAAAATGGCATTTGAATACCGAAGTAATTATACTCCATCTATTTTCCATGTGTCTAATGTAATACATAGGAACATATGAATATGCAACTTACAAAAA